TGGTAATATGGTGACTTTCTTGCAATTTGCCCTTTTATCTATTAATTCATTTAAGTTTTTATGCAATTAGCTTTTAAAATAAGAAATTATATTTTAATGTAAAATTCAGTTCAGGTGAGCAATTGTCAAGTTTAAAATTTCAAAGGATTTAACCCTACTCATGACGTGAGGAATGTATGTCGTGTCGTGAGGAGTTTAATGAGTACACACATCACTTTTGGGCTCACGACGTGAGCACATATTGGCTCACGACGTAAGGACTGCCTGAGAGGAAACCCTAATTTTGGGGGTTTTATTTCCGTCTTTAAAGGAAGTGAGGGTTAGGGTTAGCCCACCCTCATCCTCCATCACCTATTTGCACTCCCCTTTGAAACCCTAGCATCCATATTTGATCTTGAAGCTTATTTGTGGTGATTTTAGCCAAGGAAAAGAAGAGGAAGAGCATCTAGCCCATTGTTTCTGCGTTCAAGTCTCACCACCAAGCATTTACACATCTTCGGGACCTTTTGTGAGTTTTAAGTCTATTGCTTTATGAGTCCATAAGCTTATATATAAGTTTTTATGCTTAATCCTTCATGTTCAAGATGATGTAATGGTTAAAAGCCATAAAGTTGCCAACTTTATGGATCTCTAGTGTCCTTTGAGTAGTATAGATGCTAGATCTGGAAGATGATTGAGTTTTATGGCTCTTGCATGAGATTTGATGCCATTTTTCATTTTTGTCCCCTAACTATTGTTTGGGACATGCATTGGACATGCATGTCCAAAAAGCCACGATTCTTATGATGTTTTGTAGTAAATAAGACTCTATGGGGGATTTGGTTGATGGGGCCAAAAGAGATTTAGAGGTTCATTAAGAACTTCTGATTAGAGCGTTCTCAAGAAGTGAACATAAGGGTATCACGACGTGAGGATGGGGTTCCTCGACTATTTTGGACTTATTAGGTCACGACGTGACCACTAGGGGTCATGACGTGATTAGTGGATTGTTGGAATTTTGAGTGTGGATTGATTTTGACTTTGGACATGGTTTGACCTGAGGGTATTTTGGGTATTTTGAGTTGTAATTGAGACTAGTCATTATCTGATGATTAGGTTACCGTTGGGTTGAGATTCGGAGCTGTGTCCTATTCATCGATCTTTTTCAGACTGAGAGATGACTTTTCCTCGCTGTACTTGTGGGTCGAAGGCACCAAGGCCGACCCATTGGAGTGATATCATTTTATCTCTCTCTCTCTCTCTCTGTATATATATATATATATATATATATATATATATATATATATATATATATATATATAGAGAGAGGATAGTTCATGTGAGAACAAATATTATTGTGAGAATGTAAGAACACCTATCAACCATTAGATCAAAATAATAGATGGCTTAGATTTCTGTTATTAAATTAGGTAATTTGTGAATTAAAAAATAAAAAAAATATTATTTATTTCGAAATAAGGGTAAATTGGTAAAATAGCTAAAAATTAAATATGGAAATATAATTAGTTTCCTATTTTTGAGGAGTTTTTAATGGAGCTTTTGAAATACTAGATTTAAAACAAAACAAATTAAATTTCAAAATTGAAAACGTGCAAGTTCTGATATAATTCGAAATTTCAATTTACAATTATTATTTTACAATGTTGGTATATTCTAATCAAAATGTGCAATATTTTTAAAAAATTCTTATATGAATATTAAATTCGTGATATGAATTTGAAACATATTATTATTCATATATAAACACACACATAATCTTCATAGACAAAACATTAATATTCATGACAGAATATATTAAGATACAATTTTTTTAAAGAAAAGCATAAATATTCATGGTAGAATACACACACATAATTTTCATAGAGAAAAATATAAATATTTATGACAGAATATGTATACATATAATTTACATAGGATAAAACATAAATATTACAGAATAGATTATACACACATACAATATTCATAATAGAATAAACGCACACACAATCTAATGTTTATCTATAAGTTCTTGTGTAAGTACTCATGGTGCATCCAGAAAAACTTCATCAACTCGACTTGGAATTGCTTCATCAACCCACCTGCATAACACAATTCAATAAAATCATCAAATATTCATTTATACAAACATGAATACTGTATGTACATGAAAAACCACATACATACAAATTCACACATGAAAATTTTAAAGCAATATCCATTCATTCAGGCAACAAATATTCAAGTGACAGTTAAATAATCTATTTAAAAAGCATTAAACATATAACATGATATCACTACAAAGTATTTACATATAAATATGCTTTTGACAAAACATTCAGTATAGAGTATTCACATATAAAAACTTACTATTCTTAATAGAATTTTTATATTAAGCATTAAATATGACTAATCAAAACCCAAACAAAAAGAAAAGCAAAATACAAGTGAAATTCATATTGAAGATAAATAGAATTGTGACATGAAGTCCAACTAATTAATTGAACGGAGGGATAAAAAAGTAAAATTTCAGGGAAAAAACTGAAAAAAATACCTATACGAATCAATGGAAGTTCAACGCAAAAAAGATTATAGAAATTTCAATCGACGACATTGAGGACAACCATGAAATCAATCTCTCTTCTTCTGTTAAGATTAAAATTGAGCTTTTTAAATTCAAAATATAATTTCAAATAACATTTTGATAAAGATTAAATTCAATACAGAATATTTAATAGAGTGTTTAAATTGAAAAGTGAATTTCTAATAGCAATTCAAGTTCTTAGAAACAACTAACATTGATACAAGAATTATTGCATGTTGCTTAGGAAAACCTTGGAAAATCAAGAACAGTCTACAAGAAATAGTTGGAGAAATGTAAAATTCTTACCACACAATTGCTTTAATGGTTTCTTGTATGTTTATAAATTCATTTGTCGGAAAAACCGATTGTACTTGCTGCAAAATTCGTTGTCACTGTCAATTGGTGACCATCAAGTATCCATCATCATCCCTTCTTTTTGCCATCATCGTGACCTAAATACACTACTCCCTGCACCGATTGACCATGGTGATCTCTCTTGTTTCCCAGAAACGCAAACAACATGTAATCACCATCGAAATCAAGATGGGAAATACAGAGAATTAGGGTTCTGATTTCATGAAGCAAGATGTGAAAAAAGAAAATAAAATGAAGATTACCAAAACATAAAAGAGAAAAACATACTTGTTGATACCTTGATCGACGACGACATTGACAAGGGGATCGATTTCTTGCACGAGTGGACGAAAAGAGCAGCAATGGCCGAAAGCGGCTAACTTGAGGAAGCGTTAATCGGATCTCATAAAATGCGTATAAATGGCAGCCTAATTGGAGAGATAAAAACCAATTTCCAAAAATATAGGATTATTTAATTATACTGTATTAATGACATATGTAAAATACCATGAACGCCCTTTTACTATTTTTTTATTATTGAATTAAATGGATAAAATGATTGGCTGAAAAGCGTTCTTACGTCCTCACAATAATCTTTGTTTTTATTTAAACCTACTTCTATATATATATATATATATATATATATATATATATATATATATATATATATATATATATATATAGTGATTGATGATATATTGAGTATGTGGTAGATCAGTATGATTGTATGATGGTTGCTGATATACGTTAGGCTGGTAGATATGTAGGACTACATGTGATTATGTATGTATAATTATCTGTCTGCTGAATATGCTTATTATCTTTTATATGTCGACATGTTATATTGGGATTGAGACTACTGCTTTGTGCTGTTAGTCAACAGATCGGGGCAATCCAACCGAGAGGTTGTGGCCCAGGGTATTCTAATCGGGAGGTTGTGGGCCAGGGTAATTCAACCGGGAGGTTGCAGACCCAGTACGTGACATGCAGGGCAATCCAACCGGAAGGCTGTGGGCCAGGGTAAGCCAACCGGGAGGTTATGGACCCAACATGCAGGATTGTATATGTTATGTGTTGTGTGGTGGTACTTTGGGGAACTCACTAAGCTTTGACTTACAGTTTCAGTTTATTGTTTCATGTACTTCAGATGAATGTGGCAAGACGAAGGCATGATCGTGCACATCCTTTGGTTTTATGTTGTTTGGATTTTGGGATACTCTGATTACTAAAATACACTTTTGAAACAATGGTTTTGTAAACATTTATGGTTATGGGTTTTTTTTAAAAGTTGAATTTTATTGTGATTTTTGAGAATGTTATATTTAATTTACCATTATGCATCAAACAACAGGAACAACTGGTTGCATTCATGATGTGACATTACAACTAATCGGTGTTGTAAAACTCGGCCAACTCGGGCGAGTACTCGAACTCGACCTCTTACCAAGGCGAGTTAAGCCAACTCGGCCAAATAACTCGGAAATCGGTCAAAATCGGTAAAACTCGGACCAAATCGGTCAACTCAGGCGAGTACTCGGCCAACTGGGTCAAAATTGTCTTAAGAAGAGGGAAAAAATCAAGAATTTCAAAATTAATATGTATAATACACTTAATGATTTATTATTTAACACACACATGTGATTACTACTACATATATATCTTAAATTTTCAGTAATTATTCACAAAATGAGACATTGTGTGTATTTCAGTTTTTATGTATTCACATGTATCTAATTTTTTTATATATTTCAATCAACTTATGATTTTAACTTATGATTTTGACATATATAATTTCCTTAAAAATATTTCTACATGAATTACCGAATCTGAGTACTCATCGAGTACTCTCGACTACTCGCTACTCGGCAGTCGACTGAACGAATGCTAAATAGCGAGTTCTACAACCTTGCAACTAACTAGACAAAAAAATTATCAATATCCACGTAAGTAATTCAATTATCCACCTCACATTATTTAACATAAAGTCTACTCTCTTCATTCTAATCTTAGAGATCAAGAATGAAAAAAGTCTAGGGTTTAATCTTGTTTCTCCGATCGAAGTCAAGAAGCAGCCAACCATCTGACAATGTCAACCTCGATGTCAAACCCTACTGAATTGTATCCTCTAGTGGAGCTGAACTTCAAATGTGTTTTTCTTCGAAATCCTTTCCCGTATAATCATGGTATCAAATTCACATTCACTGATCATGATTTTGTCAGAATGACATACTCTGAGTGTATCACATTTCCCGAACGTTTCATGCAAGAAAGTATAAAGAAGTTATTCTACTATGAGCCATCTAATACCTTATTGTATGGTATTACTCCTATTACACATGATGAATATTACGATGATTTCATTTTTGATGACTATAGAACCGATGGTATAATTTCCCTCTATGTGGACCATGTCGGTGAAGGGTGAAAGATTAGTATGGTTCTGAGATAAAAGAAGAAGATGGTGAGGATTCATGTATTAATGGTGGTGAAATGAAGAAGAAATTGATAACCTTAGAGATGTGGAGGTAGAATTTAACGTGGAAAGAATCACTATGAGCAAAACAAAGAGTGATGAGTTTTTTAGTCAATTATGTGGTGAAGAGGAGGAGGCAAATGATAACAAAAAAGATGATGATGGCGAGTGTGAAGCAATACCTATGAATTAAGAACATTTAATTTTTAATGAGTCAACACCTAGGAAAAAGCAGAAGCTCATACTTGGAATGAGATTCCAAGATCCAACTCAATTAAAATCCATGTTATGCAACTATGTTGTTGCAAATGGGTACCAAATTTGCTTTGAAAAAAAATGATAGGAAAATATTATTGGTTAAGTGTTACAAGGGCAGGTGCACATTTAGGTTGTAGGCATCTTGGATAAGGGAAGAAGAAAGCTTATAAATCAAGTCTTTAAAGGTAGATCGTAAGTGTACAGGGAACTAAAAGTTAGGATTAATGGCCGCTTATTCCTGGATAGGGAGTCATTATACAAAAGAAATCATACTTTGACAAAACATGAGTGTTAGAAAGATAAGATTAGCAGTAACATAGAAGTTTGGTATTCATGTCAGTATTGGTCAATGCAAGAGAGTTAAGAAATATGCAATGCAACTAACAAATGGTACCCTTGTTGACCATTATGCAAAGTTGTGGTGATATATAGAAGAGATTAGGAGATAAAATCCAGGTTCCACTATGAAGCTTGATGTGAATTATATGCCAGATGGGAAGAACTACTTTAGTAAGTTCTATGTTTTCTTTGATGGATTGAAGAAGGGATTGAGGGATGGGTGTATAAAGATAATAGGACTAGATGGTTGTTTTCCTAAAGGGATTTGTAAATGGGAGTTGTTATGTGTTGTTCTTAGGGATGTAAAGAATGATATTTATCCCATTGCATGGGCAGTAATTGATAGGTTTTCTATATACTTCCCTAGATTATTATTTGGTAGCGGAAACATGTATTTTAGTCTAAGGCATGCAAACAACTAAAACCTACAAGAATATTTAACCTAAATAATATGAACAACTACAAGAAGGATGAAGTATTACTAACCTTTAGCTAAAATAATTTGCTTGAATAACCTTTGATGTAGATCTCGAATTCCACTAAGCTAAGCAAGATAACAACCAAAGTAGATTGCCTATAATGGTTCACACCTAACAATTCCAAATTATTAGTGTTAGAATATTAACCCTTAGAACAATAGAGACTAGCTAAAGAATTAATCAAGAGAAAAGAGAAAATCTATATGTGTAGAGTGGGACGAAATTTAGGAGTGCCAAGGAGGGGGTATTTATAGTTTCTGGTTATTTGGAAAGAAAGTTGATTTGAACTGGAAACCATATAAAGATAATAATTAAATAATCCAATTTATCTGAAATTCAAATCCCTTCCTTGTATAGCCTTGGACGAAAATTCCAAGGGATATCCATACTAATTTTCTTTCATCCCTTCCAACTATTCAACTATTGAATAATTAACATTTAGTCCTTGTACTTTTTAATTAGCACAAATTAATTCCAAATTAATTCTAATTAATTCAAATCATTTCCAAACTAGTTTCTAATTAATTTATCATCACATGAATAATTTATAAACTATTTGTATATCTCTCTCTTATAATATTCTAATATAATTTGGATCATTGAGGGTAACCCAAAAAGGACCATGCCATTAATGTAATTCTTACCAATTAGCTATGACATTGGACACCATTCCAACAGTAGTTGTGTGGAGAATAAAGAAAAATGGAAGTGGTTTTTAGATCTACTTATTAATGACTTAGGACTTAATTTAGGACAGGGATACATTATCATATTTGATCAACACAAGGTACTTTACTTCATTCTACTATAAGACAAATTAGTCGGGGTTTTCTCACTAAACAGGCGTGCATGAGAAAAACTAGGAAACACGTCGTGGTCCTAAAAGACACGTTGCGTCTGCCCTAATTCAACAACTTCAAAATAACTTAATCTATTAAGTCCAAGCTTCCAAATTCAATATCTAGATCTAAATGATGTATTAATGGATAAATTTTCCAACTTTATCCATTAAAACATCCCAAACTAGCTAGATCTAGAACTCTAGTTTCTTAAAAGTCCAAGATCTCATTTTTCTTCAATCAAGGAGTAAAGAGAGCTTGTGCATGCTTTCTAAACTCAACCAAAAGGTCAAATATAAAGTCTAATATGATTACAATATCATGTAGTTGTACAAACTTCAAATATCAAACCATTAAAGGGACCAAAACACCAAAATATGGACCAAAACACCATTATCTCATAAATCCAGAGATGGAATACAATAAAGTAAGGACTTTGTAACTTACAAAGGTACAAAAGGTAGATGGAGGTTTAAATCTTCTTTCAAAGCTCCAATAATCAATATTGCAAGAATACTTCACTCTAGAACCACCAAAAGCACACAAAATGGATGAGATGAGAGAAGAGAGGCTCAAAACTAAGAAATGGAGGATATGGTTTCTGAAAGTTCTCTCAAAATGTGATAAAGGATGAGAATGAACCAACCCTAGGGGGTTAATGGCATTTAAATACCCCCCAAAACCCTAAAAACACGTTCAACCCAAGGGCTTGGACGTGTCACGACCAACAAATAGGCCCGCCGCGTCCACCAGACAATCCTCAGATTTTCAAATTTTATGATTAATTCCTTTAATCTTTAGTCTCCGCTTCTACATTTCCTTGAACTATAAAACCCCCCAATAAAAGTGTGGAAAACATCATCTGGATATAGAGTTACAATATCTTATTCAACAGCCTTTAAGGTATGATTGTAGAGATGAATGGACATAATGAAAGTATGTCGACAATAACGCAAGGGCTAGATGATAAAATGGAATGGGAATATTAGGGAGATAATGGATAAAGGTTCCACTCATTTGTTGAAGGAAGTTAAAAGTGATATTTTTTGTTCATTCTTATGTTATAAAGGGAATTTATGTACCTTTGAATACATACACAAAATAAATAGGAGGAAGAAGGGACAATGAGAGTCAAGAAAGCTACAAAGTAAAAAAAATAAAGATGAATAGATAGAGGAAACGAAAGAGATATTGACAATAATGAGAAAACTTCAAAAATAAAAGTGGAAATGGAATCTTCTAATCAAATAAAGAAGTTGTACTTGCTACACGTGTAAGAGGAAATGAAATTCTATGAGGGGTGTAGACAAAAAAAGATGTCAGTATTTGATAATTGTACACTAGAATGTAAAGTGTTGAAGATCTGGAACAAAAAAGAAAAGTTCATTAGACGACTGTAGCTGTGGTCCGGGAGAATGCGAACATGAATGCAATTCATGTATACAAGTATGTTATATATCTATAAGTTTCTAGTCAACTTTGGATAAATTAAAATCTGTAGGAGGGGCGAAAGATACAAGAATTTGGAAAAAAAAATTATACATACAAGTTACAACTAGTAGTATTATGTGTAGACCAGATAGAAAGTTGGAATAAAACCGATAAAAGGTCTCATGTGTGTATGTAAGGGAGACTAAGAAACGAAAGTAAAAAACTTTTATTAAAATCTCTTTAATAATGAGTAATGTATGGAAATGGATCCCTCCAATGTATGAGTTTAAAATGATAGATTTCATAATTAAATTTGAGGATTTTGTATGGAAACCCCCGGTTTATTATGAAGGCGAGAAGTAATTGAAGTTCGTGGTAATGAAGGATTATAGGTGTTGGTGACTTTAGTATTATCACTTAGTGTATTTATTATTAAGCTTGAGATATGTTG